GCGTACTTGGTTTGGAGCCAGGTTATTTGAGGGACCACCTGCACTAACACAAAGGTGCCTATGCTTTAAGACTGGTACTGGAGCCCCAACACATCACCTGCCTTTAAGATCAGCTTGGTAGGGGCTATAGACCTTCTCAGCAGTGGTCTCTACCTTATGGAACTCCTTCCCAAGACAAGTGCAGCTGGACATGTCAACTACAAGATTTACTAAGGCTTTAAAAACCCACCTGTTTCAAATGGCTTTTAATTGATATGCTATATTGATCATGCTGCTGTTTTCTCAGTGTTTTATTGCCGTGTCTCTGGTAATGTTTTTCCTACTGCTTATGTTTTAACATTATTGTTGGTTGCTTGTGTTTTGTTTTTAATGAAGTTTTCTTACAACATACTGTTGTATTTGGATCTTCCTTGAGGACGTGGCTGTGGGGAATGTCATAATGAGGTTCCACCACACCACTGATAATGACAGGTTCTTCAAGAGTTATAATTTGCCACTCATCATGTCTGTTACAGTTCTGATGGTCTCATCTCATAGAGTTGGTCTGCCAATGGACCTAGTGCCCGAAATCAGCTCCCCATAGAGGAGCTGATCCTTGGGGATCCTGACATCTTTCATTCTGTGCACATGACCAAGGCTTGCTCTCCCAGATAGATTATGGCAAGACATAGTTTACATCCTATATGCATCTGACCATGTAACTAGTGGAATTAATGCAAAAGATGGAATAGTCCTCCCCTGCATACAGTTCAGTTCCTGACTGATATTTTTTGCATGTCACCCCAATTTCTGACTAGTGTGAGGGTTTGTGTTTCCTTTTCGAAATGAGGCACAGTGGAGACTCTGGTGTTTTTATGATATATGGTTTATTTACACATGTGTACAACCTGAGCCTATGATGAGGAGTTCACAGCATTAGCACCTCTAAAAGGTCTTATTTCTCCCATAGCCGCAGACTTGGATTAAAACAGAAATCAAGCATTGCTCTCCAACATTTCTCTGACTCTCCTCAGCTTCCAGCTTTCTTTCTAGGTTACATGACTGTCCTCCAAAACTCTACTTTAAACTCTGGATTTATCTGTTAAGGGAGAGCCCCCACCCATTTACCATCTTACACAAAACCCTTTCATTCACCCTAATGGTTCACCACCCAGGCTATCATCTCACCAACAAACTAGCCTGGCTATTCCAAGAATTAGAAGCCTTGATTAAATCCTAATAGTTACTGGATCCAAGGATTAGAGGGGTCTGGCATCCAGCTAAACACCCCAAACTCATAACAATATAGAGATAACAGTTTCATTTAGAGGAGTTTGTGGCTTCCTTTTCTGTCTGTCTGTTCAATTCTTCTCGCTGTGCATCCTTTCTGTTTACGGATTTTGGCCCAGTGCCTGGTAACTGTGAACTTTATTCAAACCTACAAGGGGAGATCATATTAATAATGCTACTTGCAAACCTAGTTTAATACCATCCTCTGTCTTTGATAATCCACTTAATAGTTTATGGTCACATCAACCTGTCAAACTTTGTCTTCTGGTGATAAGGGGGATAATCTGGCCAGCCTGCTGCATCCACTTCCCCACCCCTGGTGTAGAGGCTGGGAATGGGGATGCCACATGCAATTCCCCCTCCCCCCCACTCTTGTCTCCCCACATTCAAAGAACATCTGGAAAGAGCTATTTGAAATTGCTTCTCAGTGTACAAAGTGCATTACGATTCTCTTTTCATTTTATCACAGGAGAATGTGTTTGCTGCTGAAGCTCCTACCATCCTACTCAGTTTTGAAATCTAATGATTCCTTTAAAGTCTCTTCCACTCACCAAGATAATAAAATTTCCACTAGCTTCTTTAGCAGTCTTCTGAAGAACAACCACCGCCCTCTATTGCCAGCTACAGGCTGTTCAATGGAAATGTCTCCGTTTTAATCAGGAGTCAAAGTGACAGTGTGAAATCCAGACTCTGCCAGGTTCCTTTAGCTCCAGAGCATTACTTTAGCACCATCTCTAATTAATGCCGACACCCACCTGGAGATTGAAGAGGGGAAAATAGGCACCTTACGTTTCTCAGAAGATACATTCCTAGCAAGTGGGATTCACCACCCCCTCCGCCCAACAGTCTTGAAAGGATCTCACTTATTTAAAAGTACTCTAGGAATGTGTGTAGCTGCATTTGCTTACTTTCAGCATTTTTAGAGGCCCCTGATGCTGTGCCTTTATCAGCAGTTGGATCTACAGATATTAGCAGGCAATAATGCTTTTCTCCAAGCTTCTTCCCCTGCTCATTTGATTGCTGTGGAAGGAAGGGAACAAACTATCCTAAGTCCAGCCCTGTTCACCATTGTCACTCTTTTGATCCTTCCTCTGTATTGTTTCCTATCCCTTCCCTCCCCCCTTTTCTTTCCCCATTCCTGTCAAGCCCCTTGGGGCTTAGTCCTATTCCTTCACCCCAGGCATGGAGAACGTCTGGCCCTTCAGATGTTGCTGAACTACACTTCCATCATCCCATTGGCCATGGTTGCTGCATGTTGTGCTTTCTATATTTTGTTCTATTTGGGGTTTCATGAATTCTGGATATTTTCCACCCGTACCATTCAGTAGGACAGTATTATTCACCTGGTTTCCCAAGGTAGAGGTTGCTGCCAGTAACTGAGGGGGTGGAGAGGTCAGTGTGGTGTGTATACAGCAGCAGAACTAACCCAGCACCATGCTGACCTTCCCATCGCCTCCCTGTTTCTCTTCTCATTTACCAGCAGTGACCTCTGCATTGGGAAGTCAGGTAACCAACACCCCCCTATGCTGTTGCCTGCTACTATTCTTCACCTTAGAGGTGCCCCATACTTTACTAATCCTTCCTATACCAATGGCATAGGAAACTAAGAAGACAGAAGCAACCAAGTGGAAGTTCCAAAATGTTGAGTCCCTGATAAGACATGATACACTAAATAGGAGCTTGTGAATTGCGGTTACGTTCCCAGTGGAGAAGGGAAATGTCTGGATTTTACACACCACAGCCACAATTAGTGCTAATGATCTCATCTGTTGGCTCTTTTAACAGAAATGTTAATGAGTGAGCTTCTCATTCATTCCTAAATATAGTCCCTCCAGGGCAATATTGACATGGATTGACAGTGCATGCGTACGTGATCACACACAAACCTTTACCTGCATCGATGCTGCTGAGAGCAATGTTATGTGTGGGGATAATATAATGGAAGGGTTATAACTCAGTGTAGATCACATCCTTTGTATACAGATGGTCCCAAGTATAATCCAGGACATCTCAAGGCAGGGATGAGAAAGACTACTTTACGAAACCCTGGAGAGCCTATGTCAATCAATAGACAGGACTAAGCTAGATGGCCTAATGATTTGAGTTGGGATAAGACAACAATGTGGTTGTATGCAGTGCTATTTTTCTAGAAAAAGATGTGCTGGAACTCACCCCAAACACCTCCCTTGTTCTCTTATATTGGCAATGGCTTCCGACTAGAGCATAGCTGTCAACTTACAGATTTGAAAACAAGGGACCAGCAGCCTTGAAAATAAGGGACCAGCAGCCAAAATAAGGGACCTGCAGCCTCACCTGTTCCAGGCACTCCAGTCTTCCTGTCCTCCTGCAGTCTGGTCAAACTCATGCTGGGTAGCTTCAAGAACACTGTCCAAACAACTTTGTAACCAGAGGTTCAACTGAATAGAATCTGAATCACATGCACCACAAGGCCTATGCAGCCTCAACTTAAGATGGCTCCCCGGCCTGGCTTTGCACTGCAAAGTTTGCAGCAGCACGTGCAACAAATGGCGTCCAGCATTCAAAAACCTTCTCAGCTTGCATTAACTAGCCACACACAAGGCATGCAAGCTCCACCCCCCAGTTGTTATTAGACTTCTTATTGGGTGAGCAACACAGCCAAGCAACACAGTTGGAGCCTCCCTCCTCCCTGGCCGGCAGGGAGGGAGGGAGAGGAGCTGCTTCCTTTGAAATTTAAGGGACATCATTTAAGGCAGTGTTCCCCAACCTTGGGCCTCCAGCTGTTTTTGGACTACAATTCCTATCATCCTTGACCACTGGTCTTGCTAGCGAGGGATGATGGGAGTTGTAGTCCAAAAACAGCTGGAGGCCCAAGGTTGGGGAACACTGATTTAAGGGACATCCATCAATAAGGGACAGCAGTGGGACATGGCGCTGGAATAAGGGACTGTCCCTTCAAATAAGGGACACTTGACAGCTATGCACTAGAGAGGTGCCAGAACTGAGTTCCAGTGAGTGTCAGTTGAAAAAAAAAGCCCTGGTTGTATGAATGATTTCTTGCCTAGTAGCTGAAGTATATACCCAAGGTACTGGTAATTATTTGGGAATGGGTAGAGGCTAGAAGGAGAGCCAATGTGGAGATGTCTAATGTTTGTAGCTAGTTAATTTGTGGCGGCTCTCTCCTGGTCTTCTGCTCTCCTGTAGGGACTCTAGTGCAGGGGTGGAGCCCACCTGCCCCACAGCTTTTATATGTTCAAGTGCTGATAGGAATGGAAGTCTCACAATGTCTGGAGGGCTGCAGGTTCGCTATCCCTGTAATAAAGCAATGGGATGCGGAAAACTTCCGCTACTTACAAATGAGTCTTGGAAACTCTTCTTTTGCAGGGTCTGAAGTGTATGGAATTTTGTAGGGGCCCAGTACGTACATAATCTATACAAGGTTGCTATATGGCAACTGTACAGTCCCCAAACTTACTTATCAGGCACTTAGGGACATCAGAAGCTGCCTTATACCGAGTCAGTACGATTGGTCCATCTTGCTCAGTCTTTTCTACACCAGGGTTTCCCAAACTTGGGTCTCCAGCTGTTGTTGGACTACAACTCCCATCATCCCTAGCTAGCAGGACCAGTGGTCAGGGATGATGGGAATTGTAGTACAAAACAGATGGAGACCCAAGTTTGGGAAACCCTGATCTACACTGACTGGCATTAATTCTCCAGGATTTCAGGCAGGAGCCTCTCCCAACCCTACCTGGAGATGCCAGGGATTGAACCTGGGAGCTTCTGTTTGCAAGGCAGATGCTCCACCCCTGAGCAATGGCTCTTCCCCATACTTCTCAAGAGGGTTCGCTTCTGAGTAATGCTACTTAAGACTGCATTGTAAAGTAAGCTTGCCACTTCGACTGGGCTTTTGCTCTACAGCATACGTGGCTCAAGGGTTAATGCAGTCCCCACCCATGATTAACTTGGCTAATCAGATACATGTTGAATTAACCGGCTGCTGACAGGTGTGAACTTTTCAACAGCAAGCAGTTCTCTCTCATCTGCTTCACAGGAGCTGCATGCTTCTGTCAGGAGAGAATTTAATTAAAATGGTCCCCCAGTACTATTGTTGGCAACTCACCATGTTCAGCCTTGTGGTATCTTACAGAATTCAGTCTGCAACTCCCCTCCCCCCCTTTCAGGCCCCTCCCATTTTGCTCATTGTTCTCTCTTCTTTGCCCTAAAGCTCTGAAATCTCAAAGACGCAGAAGATGGATTTTCTTGGCAGACAGTCAAGCCAGCCAACCCAGGCTCTTGGAATGCAATCAGAGAGGAGAGGATCTTATGAGCTTCCAAAGAGAAGCTACAGAAGGAGTAGCCAGCCCATTCGCTTTTCAACCCTCTTATCACAAATACAGAGGTGTCTACTCCTCGCTGAAACATAGCTAGTGCGTCACTGTTTCCCTCTAATATATTGAGAGCAGCACATCATAAAGAGCGCTTTTATGATTTTTTTTTAAAAGACAAGCAAGTTCCATACAAGCAAGTTCAAACTCTAATTTCAGTGGTTAAGGAGGCCACTGATTGCCTTGGAGGCTGGTCCTCCACTGGGGACAAATGGGACACTGCCCCACCAACCTCAGTCTGCTCTTAGCCAGCCCCCACCTGCCTGCCTTCTTATTCACAACCAGTCCAGGGGATGACACTGCTTGTCACCTTCCTCCTCCTTAGTCTCAGTGATTTCCCTTGCATAATTCAGCAGAGAGAGGATGGGGAGGAAAGTATAATTAGTTGGTTCCACCTGTCATTGGCTCTGGGTCCACCTACACTGGCTGCCCTATCTTCAACCCTACGTGTTCCAATGGGCACCAGCCGCCACTGACTGAAAAGTGACTGGTGGAAAACCAAGACTAAAATGCCTTCACCCAGGGCAGGGATGAGGAATTCAGGGGCGCTTTGGAGCCAGGCAAAAATACTGGCTGAAGTTGACTGTGCCATAACACACAACAGCTGCTGATGTTGAACAGCTCTCTTGCACACTTCTAATTTCAACTAGCTAACATGCATGAATTAGGCTTTACCATTAGGCTATCATCTGTTGTGCCTGTGGAACAGCTCCACCATGTAAATTAAAAGCATTTCAATAGTGGTCAGCTAAAGGTTCTTTGATGGATTATGCATATTTTTAAAGAAGGGGAGGAAACTTTTTTAAAGTTGAAAAGCACATTTCAGATCCATGAATTATGTCATGGTTGACCCGTTTTTCTTTGTTCCCTAACCCTAGAAGCATTTCTCATTTTTGTCTCAGCCTGAAAAATACCTTTTGTATTCTCTTTGGGGTGTATATGCCTAGAGGTAAATTATCACACCACTGAAAGTTTATGGACTCCAGTTACCTCTCCTTTCAGCTGACCATCTTTTCTTCAGAAGGGTATTCAGCAGGCATAACTTGGCTTTTCTGATCTCACATCCAAAGCCACGTCAGATGAAATCTCTTTGCAGATGGATACTAAAATAACAGCTTGATGGTAGTTTTGTTGCAGCTCTGGTGGCAAGGCTGATATACTTTGCTCTGTGTGTGTGTTTGTGTGTGTGTGCAACCTTAAGCAAAATTGATCACTTTCAGCTCAGGTGTGAAGTTTGCTTGGGGTACATGATACCTTTTATGTGCTTCAATCAAGCCTTCATAGCACATACACTTGGCTCTTGAGGGAAGCATCATTCTTTCAAGCATGTGAATATCTTTTTCTCCCCAACCAGATTAAGGAAAATCAATGTTTTCTTGTGAACAGCATAAAAATGCTGCTGTTTGCTTTTCTGCAGAAACTTCAAACTCCTCATTTCCTTTAAAGCAGAGAAGGCCAGTGGTGCTGTCAGGAAAGGAACTTGGGGATGGACGTCCAGGACCCTAAACAGCAGAATGAGCAAGTGGGTGGCACAGGGTGGTTTGCTTCATTTTGAGGTGGGGTAGAGGAGAATTCAATGGATTTAAAGGTGAATCTTATCAAATTTGTGCTTTCTGAATCAGAATGCAAACCTAAATAGAGCTATCCTTCATAACTCACATTTATCCACATTTTGTTGTCTAACCAAATGTTTTCAGAAATCAATGTACCGGGGGCAAGTGTGCATAGAAATGAAAATGTTAGTGCAAATTACACACACACATTATTATTAGAGAATATTGCTTTCAAATGTGTACATTAGTCAAAAGAACACATAAACTTACATTTATTAGAAGACATTCACACGCAAATGCTGATGAATTTATGCTAGCACAATGAATAATGTGTTGTTGAGCTAGCGTAGCTGTTTAGTTGGATACCACCCTGTATTTGTAGAAGGAGTAACATGCAGAATAAATAACTAGAAGATGGAGCAAAATATCAGTGCCAAATGAATTCTTACACTGTACAGAGTCTTAATGCAAACACTGCAGACTTTACTTCCTTTAACATCTAAAAGAGGATTGTGCACATTAATGGAGTATTCTCAATGGCCATATTCTAGCTGCTGTGTTGGAGGCAGTAGGATGGTGATAAATGCCTGTCTTCTAGCTGAGGCCAGACAGACTTTTGTAAGATTGGAGTGGGGGGAGGGGAGAGAGAGCAATGAACAGGACTCCTACGGATGATCTTAGTGACTGAGCTAGGATATAAGGGCTCAGGTGGTACTTACAGTATCCTGGGCCCAAGTTGTTCAGTCGCATATTAACACACAGCCACCCCCTTGAGCCTGGCCTGGTAGCATATGGGAAGTCAGTGTGAGCAGAGGTTTCGCATGCTGTCAGCCATCTGTCCCCATAATTCCATGGGTACTCTGACTGTTTAGGATGATGATGATGTACCCCAACCATCTACTGGGTTGCCCCAGTCAGATGATAGGGATGGGGAACCTGATAGTGTTTTGCTTCCTGTGCAGGACCCCTCCAAAAGTTCTATACACTTCTAATCCTGCAAAAGAACAATCTTCCATGGTTCATTCATACTCCTGAGAAATGTCATTCCATTCATTTCCTTTATTAGATTGGATGCTGCTGGACTCCAACTCCTATGAGCCCCAACCAGCATGGCCAGTCGTCAGGGATGATCGGAACAGTAGTCCAACAACACCTTGGAGGCTGCAGGTTCCCCATCCCTGGTTTAGGACTTCCTAAGTTTAACATCTGCGCCTTGAATTGTGCCACCGAAATAACTGGATAAGAATTTTTCCTCCAGGACAGAGAGCTCTGATTGTCCCTAGCCTATCAACCAACTTATGTATAAGCTTCTGAGCAAAGAAGCATCTCCTGCTATACCAGGTTAACTGTGCCATGGAGAAAAGAGCTGAGAGATGTATCTCCCTATTGAAGCTAGATGGATGAACCAAGAAGCCCATGGAGCCTGGAGGGAGAGAACAAAAGCCAGTGTGAAGAATAATATTATGCATAAAATACACATACCGTCTGATACATCTTTTCTCTTCCCGCAGATACAGCAATTCATTTTACTCCCTGAATCTTTCCCTTCCCTACAGCTCCTAGACTTATCTATTTAAATCTCACACTTTCACTGCTGTGTCAGAAAGAAAGGTTGGTGGGGGGTTGGTTTGCTTCACTACTTCCTTTGCTATATCTACATTTGCTTTGGATATTGCTGGGAAAAGAATACTCGTATTTAAGTCTGATTTGTACCAGTGTTTTTCTTCTTACCTTCAGGATGCCACTACTTATGCGGCACCTGAAGAGTTGGCATCGTCACTCAGGAAGTCTGGACCTCTCAGTTTCAACTTTGGGATTGCACATGGTATTTAATTTTTTGAATACTCCCCCTCCCCTCAGCTTTGTATGAATATAGGGGGTTGCCTTATACTGAGGCAGCTCACCTGCCAATCTAGCCCAGTGTGTTGTCCACACACTGTTGACTGGTAGGGGTGTCAGGGCTTACAGGCAGGGGACATTCCCAGCCTTACCTGGATATATTGGGGCCTGAACCAAGGACTGACTTATAGGTTTTGTTGTATAGACTTCCAATATTGGTTATTACTCCCATTCCAAATAAGACAAAGCAGGAAAACATGCAGTTTACAGAGCTGCAGTTCATCTGATGTAATTTAGCAGGGTGCAGTCAGATATTGCCTTGATTGTTGGCCACCTCAATTCTGTGCATAAGAGAGCTTCAGAGGTTCCCAAAGGGATGGAATAAAGTTTCTGGGGGAAAAAATTCTGCATTATTTCTAAGGCTTTGAATCTGGATTTAGAATCGAAGCCTCAAATACCCACACTGCAAAGCTTGGGTAGAAAGTTACTAATAAGTCATAGTCATTCATTCAGTCATTCATCATCATCGTCCCTCTCTAGATTGCCCTCCCTCTGTAGTGGCTATTGAAAACAACAACCCTGTACATGTTAGAACTAGTCTAGTTTGACCCTCACATTGAAGAAAAACAGTGAGAACCGCTTCAAGGAAAATGCAGTGGGTTTTTCTTTTAAAATCAGTCCATTGTTCAGGATGAGACCAAAGGCCTGAAAGAAAGTTTGGAAGGAAGTCACCTCAGCCATGTTTCAGATGACATCCAGTTATTCCTGAGGATCATATCTACTTTTGAAGATTATGACAATTAAGCAACAAGAACAGCAAGTGCTTTTAAAAATGTGCTGCTTTTTTGCAACTCGAATATAGTTCCTTGACTCTTGCTGTGAATCCTCTCGTCAGTCACTGAAATGGTGCAGCTGAACAACATGAGAAAGTTTGTCTGCGGATGGAATCCCAGCTACAGTTATCAAGCTATTTTCTTTTGTGTGTTCTGTGTTTTTCCTATTTCTATTTATCTTTATCCATCTGGCCATCCTTCCTCCCAT